ATCTTGCGGCATTAAATTATCTGTTATGCCTTTGGAAAGCAGAATGGAGCTAGACTTAGGCTATTTTAAGTTATATAAGGATTTGAAAATATTAAAATAATTTCCTTGTTAAACATAGTTTAATATGTTGACCCAGATTTATAAAAAAAAGATAGCTATCAGGTAAAGTACAGTTATGTTAATATACACACATATACATAAATAGAAATATTAGCTATTCTTTAGTTTGGAAAAAAAAGTGTATTTCCTTTTTCTCACTTTCTGATAGGTTGAATTATGTATTTTTTAAAAACTGAAGAGAAGCTTAAGAATAATATTATAATGCTAGATAATATTGTTAATGTTGGAGAATTGTTAATGGAGTAGAATGTTTGTGCATATATGTAATCATCCTTAGACTCCTGTAGAACCAGGGGTCATGCATTCATTTGTCACTGGGGTCTCTTTTTCTCCTCCTGAAACACACTACTGAAAATTTAAAGCACCTTTGAAGGGCTCCTTCAGTTGAAGCTGCAACAAATAAAGAGTCCCTTTGAAGAACTGCCAAGCCCCAAGACTCACACATGGCCAAAAACAAGAACAAAAACCGAACTGTAATAATGGAAAAGAGAGCTGAACAATTAGAAATTATTAGTATAATTTTAATGGAAATGCAATCCATTATACCACAGAAGAAAAACCGAAAAGAGGACACTTCAAAAAGTAGCAGATAATAAAATACAATCAAGCAATCAAATATAAATATGAAAATAAAATCTATAAAATAAACCGAAATGACTAAGCCTATAGACCAGTGGTTCTCAACCTTTCTAATGCCGCGACCCCATAATACAGTTCCCCATGTTGTGGTGACCCCCAACCACTTATACATCACCAGGTGCCAGGGGCGTGGCAAAGAAAAGGGGAAAAAATGGCGGACAGCCTTGTTTGGTGACCCCCGTGAAATGGTCGTTCGACCCCAAATGGGGTCCCGACCCACAGGTTGAGAACCACTGCTATAGACCTATAAAAGTCTAATAACCTATAAAAATGAACAGAATTTGAGATCTATTAAAACTAAAGTACGAGATGAAAGACTGCCAGGAAAGTTCACAGTTTGCTTAGTCTGCTGACCAGATGTTTACCGTTGATGAGAAACTTCAAGGCTGCTCTTCTTAAAATGGACTTGAATTGGTCAAAATAATCATTTAACCAAGGAACATTCTCCTCTGACAGTCTTTCAAACAAGATTGTCTTCTGCAGGGTATGGTCTAAGACAGCATGCTGGCTGAGGAATTCTGGGAGTTGAAGTCCACAAGTCATAAAAGGACCAAGTTTGAAGACCCCTGGTCTAAAACTATGCTAGAAGTATTTCTTCTGCTATGTTTGCTTATTTAAACTTATTAGCATCAACACACAAACGCCCATCGCTTTATAGATGCCGATGCTCACAAAATGATTTAGAAACAATAAAAGGGTTTTATCTTTTAAAGCTCTAAAAAAAACTTACTAAGTACAGATATTGGAAGAGTTTAGAGATATTATTCATCAAAGGGAAAATTTCCAGAGATGAATAATTCAGAGTGAAAGTATTACAGCAGCATCTCTGAATTTCAGTTTTTCAGTGGTCACGTCTGAAGGATATTACAATAATAAACTGAAGCTTTTGTTGAGGATGTGGAAGAGGATGAGAAAGAAGAGTTACAAAATACAGCATCTCTGGGAGAGAGTGGGTCTACCTCTGAGATAGCATATGAGACAGAAGAGAGGATCATGGAGAATATTGAATTGACCAGCCCCTTGCCCCAAAAGAATTAGAAGAAGAACATCTCCAGCCATGAATTCCTGCAGAAACAAGTTCAGAGCAGTACTCGAAAGAATGAAGGCACCATATTGTGTTAAGTAACAAAGGAATTAGAATAGAAAAGCAGAAAGATCAATTTACTTGACTGACCAACTTTAACAAGTGGGAAATAGTTAGCACCATGTGACTTGAACCTTCAAGAAATATAGCAAGATCTCCTTGGTGGTGTACTGGAATCAGTGCTCAAGTTACCAGCCTGAATTTCATGTCTTGATTTTGTCTCTCTTAAATAGTCTGACTGTTGTAATGTGATGTGCATATACTTCTTGTGGTCTATGTAACATATGACAACTTGGCTATTAGGACTGGAAGAAATTGCTACTTTGCTCAACTTCATTTGACTTCTGCATATTATCCAGTCAAGTAGATAAGCAGAATGAACGAAGGCCACCATAGAACAATATCTGTGCTACTATATCAGATATACCCAAGTTAAATGGATAAGTGTCAAGCCCTACGGGGCTTGCCATTCGGTGGTGGGGGGAAAGGAGAATATGACCCGCCACCGCTTTTCCAAGCAGCCAGCCAGCCGAGCAGCGAGAGGCAGCAGGCGTCCACCCAAACCGAGCCCCGACGTCCTACCTCCCTGCCGGCTGCCGTAGGAGCTGTGGGAACCGGCGCTGGGCACTCCGCCAGCCAGCTGAGCAGCGGGATAGCATGGAAAGGTGATAAACTTTATGTTCCCGAGGGACTATGGCTAACCGTCCTCCAGAGGTGCCATGACGCCAAGCAAGCTGGGCATTTCAATTTTCTAAAAACCCTACATCATATCGATGGCAATTTTGGTGGCCCCGAATGAAACCAGACATGAAGACCTATGTCAAAAACTGCCATATCTGTGCCATTGCAAAACCCCAGGTGGAGAAGCCAATGGGCCTCTTGCACAAAGTGGCTGATCTGAGCCAGCCCTGGGAAGAGATCGCAATGGATTTCATTGTCGAATTGCTCCCAAGCCGGGGTTACACCGTAATATGGACAGTCATCGATCTCTTTTCAAAACAGGCTCACTTCATTCCTTGCAAAGGGTTGCTGTCAGCACAATGACTGGCCAGACTCTTCATACAACACATCTACCGTTTGCATGGGGTGCCGCGATGGATAATCTCAGACCAAGGGGTGCAATTCACAGCACAATTCTGGCGTACATTCCTCAAACTGGTAGGATCGTCCCAGGGCCTCAGCTCCGCCTACCACCCATGTACTAATGGAGCTGCAGAGCGAGCGAATGCCATGATAGAACGGTACCTGCGTAGCTATGTCACCTTCCAACAAACGGACTGGGTAGACCTATTGCCGTTTGCCGAGGTGGCGTACAATAATACAGTTCATAGCAGTACCGGGTTCGTCCCTTTTCGGGTGGTGAACGGAGTGGAGTTTGTGCCCATCTCCGAATGATCCAAGGAAACGGGTAGGGTATACACACCTCAAGCATGAATAACACGAGTGACAGGGCTGTGGGGGTTCGTAAAAAAAACTCTAACACAGGCCGAGGCGGCTGCTAAGACCCAAGCCGATAGAAAGAGGGCCGACCACAGACCTTTCAGAGTGGGGGACTGGGTGTATCTCTCTACAAAATATCTCCGCTTGCCAGTGTCCAGCAGGAAATTAGGGCCAAAATATATAGGGCCATTCCCGATAGTACAGGTAATCAATCCGGTCACAGTGTGGTTGTGGTTGCTTCCATTACTAGGAAAAGTACATCCAGTGTTCCACAGCAGTCTGCTAAAACTGGTGCATGGGACCCCAGTGGGTGATAAGGGCCCAGGGTCAGTAATTGGATCAGAGTATGAGGTACAGGAGGTGGTAGATTCCCGAGTACGACGTGGTCAATTGCAGTATCTCATTCAGTGGAAGGGGTATCCCCTTTCAGAGGCCTCCTGGGTGGGGGTGGTGGATATTCATGCTCCTCGGCTCATACCAGCATTCCATCAGCGATGCCCGGAAAAGCCAGGACGTACGAAGTGTGGACAAGTAAACACACCATCTCCTCCTTACCTTTCAGGTGAAGACATGGTAGGGGAGGCCGCATGTCAAGCCCTACGGGGCTTGCCATTTGGTGGTGGGGGGAAAGGAGAATATGACCCGCCACCGCCGTTCCAAGCAGCCAGCCAGCCGAGCAGCGAGAGGCAGCAGGCGTCCACCCAAACTGAGCCCCGACGTCCTACCTCCCTGCCGGCCGCCGTAGGAGCCGCGGGAACCGGCGCCGGGCGCTCCGCCAGCCAGCTGAGCAGCAGGAACTGGCTGGTGGCCACCCAAACTGAACTCCGACATCCTGCCTCCCTGCCGGCCACCGTAGGACTCACAGAACCCGGCGTTGGGCACTTTGCTAGCCAGCTGAACAGCGGAACTCAGCAATTCAGCAGAGAGATAGAGGGCCATGTGACAGGCCACGACAGGAAGTGCTCTCCATGGAGAGCTGCAAAGAACAGTCATACTCATCAGTGTCGGAGGAGCCAGGACGCGAGGCAGTGGCAGGCGGACATGCTTTGGCCGGCCAGGTGATGGACCAAGGGGGCGGGGCTTCGTGGAAGGAGGGCTTGGGTCACAAGGGGAGCTTTATAAGGGCAGCTAGGCGGATGGTGGTTTATGGGTGGCGGGTGGGGTTTTGGGCGTGGTATCATTATAAAGAGCACTGGGAGCAAACCACTTCCAGTGCTGACTTTGTTTGTTAGGCATTTAATAAACTACCTAACTTGCACTATGTTCCTGTGTTCCTGGTTTCTTCGTTCGGGACGACAAAGGACCTAGATTGACAGGGCTTTTTTTCTCATAGAACACCCAGAACGGAGTTCCAGCACCTTTTTTGGATGGAACCTTGTAGGGTAGGCAAGGCGGGTTGTATGACGTGTGTGAGTTCCAGCACCTTTTTTTTTTTTTACAAAAAAAGCACTGAGTCTATGTTCCTCTACAGAATTCACTTACAACAACATAATGCACTATTTCCCTCACAGAGCCCTTTCTCTGATTAATTATAGGTTTAATCTACATTAATTTTCCTCTGTGTTGCTAGAGGAATTGTTGTCATTCCATTTCATCCAGAAGAACCAACTGCACAAGTCTAACAAAAGCATGAAGGGCATGCAGACATGAAGAGAAGGAGTGGAGTGTTCACAGAAATTAAAGAAGAGACACAATTACATATTAAAAAATCTCTCACCTGTGTAACCTTTTCCGTGACATTGTGTGTTCTTTCTTTCACTTTGGGTGCAATAATTGTTTTCTCTGATGATGGAGGTGAAGATGCCTTTTTTTCATTTTTGATATCAGAAAAGTTTAGAGTGAGCTGGGGAATCTTATTGATGGTGCTGTATTTGTTGAGGTTTGAATCAGATGTAGATCCTAATAGACTTGATTTGATATGGTTAAAAGGACCTACAAGAAAAAAGAAGAAGATATCAACTGATATAATGTCTTGAGCCACTTTCCAGATAACTAAAAAAGGAAATACCTTTATAGTTCTTTTTGTTTTTCAACCAGACTTGTTAACTCTCTAGTTTAGAATCTGCCAATATTTTAATTGCAGAAGAAGGGCAGAATATAGTGCCTAGAAGCAATAAACAATTAGTGTCCATTGCACACCCACTCTTGAATCAGGACTTCTCATCCTTTCTGCTACTGTTAAATGATTCTGTTATCTAATCTTTGTAGGGTCCTTAAACTAGAGAAAATTTTAAAAAGTGAAAAATTATAGAGAAAGTGGGAATCAATTTCTTCAGTGTTTACAGATTTCTGAGCTAGTTGAGTGAAGACAAGTGAAAGCAGAAATCCATTAATGGAGTAATATCTTGGACTTAATCTAGATAAACACTAGATTGAGAACTTTGGGCTTTTAAAGTCTGGAGCACATGAACTTTTTAAATTATGAACTTAGAAGAGATCTATAGTTAGTATGGCTCTATGAAAGTGCCACATTCAACGGCAGTATACTTGTAAATACCATATGCTGAAGGAGCGACAAGGAAAAAAAAAGTTCTGGTTTCTTGGATTCCTGAAGACCTCTGGATTCTCTCTGTGGGCAGCAGAGTTTTTCATTATACTCTAAAAACCCCAACTTTCCCCAAATAGCATGTTACTCCCATGTAAGGTGCATATATTTGTGCTGAAGGGGCAAATAAGATTTATTTGTTTACCTTTCCTAAATTTTAAGCCCACCTTCTCTGATGCCAGCCTTGTCTCCTGGTGCCCTAAGACTGAAAAAGGATTCTTGAACATATTACCTTCTGCCAGCTTCTGAGAGTTGTTGTGACATAGAAGAAAAATGGACCACAAATGTATCCCATAAATAAATACTTCCTGAATAATTAAATGCCCAAATTAGGGAGAAAACCTTAAGAATATTGTTTAATTTCATTGGCACATGGACTCCTGAATACAAGATTAATCAAGATAGACTCCAAATCCTGGGTAATCCTGGGTGTCTTTTGTGCCATGGTTGCTTGTTTTCCATCTGTGATTTCTGGTGGCTCTTTTCAAGAGCTTATCCATAGCTGCTAGGCTGGCAGGCATAGGACACAGAAGATTTCTTTATGGCAGGTCTGTTCTTATGGAATAGGCTTCTACCAGAAATATGTTCATTTCTTTCTGAGAATCTTAACATGGGCTTTAAAACTATGGAATACTGATGTGGATCTATAGTGACAATAAATACAGAAATAGGCAGAGTCTTGAGTACTTCAAGCCAGCAGCAAGTTCATTTACAGACAATTGTTCACTCACAACACGGCACCACACAATATCAAAATTACTGCTGACAGAGACAAGAAGCAAATGGGAGGACTTCCCAGGACTGGGTCACTTGTGGGCATTAGCGCATGCACACCATGCAGGTTTGATGGAGACATTTCATCAAGTATATTGATTTTTCCACAAAATTTAAATGACACGTTGAAGAGGAACAAAGGAGAAAATTCCTCCTTCATCCTGCCTCTCCTACTAAATTTAGGCTACAAACACAAATGATCAGTTTATTATGGAAAATAATATGCAAAAAGGATTTTAGTTAGCAAGAGAAAGGAATGCCTCCATTTGACTAACTTTGCTTGCACTGTTGTCCTGGTGAAAAGGACCAATACTAGTATGTAATATACATGAATACATGTTTCCACATGAAATTGAAAATGGAATTCATGCAGGCACACCTGAAGACTTAAACCATAAGCTTAAACCATACCCCCTGCCATCCAGGAACGTGAAACTAGTTTTAAGGAGACAAAAGAGGAATACGTGAAGGGTCCAGATTATTCACTGATTGTCTTGGTGTCAGAAAGATAAACTGAATTGGATTTAAAATGAATCAATGGTGGCTAGTTTCACTCATGCAAAGCTCAATTTGTAATATTGTACAAGATCATATCTTGAAAACTTCAAGTTACATTATCTGCATAGGATTGGCAGCGTCCACATTCTACCTTCTTCAACAAGCTTACATACAGTAGGTACAATCCAGCCAAAGTTCAAACTTTTAAACCCTCCTGGGGGTTTTGATGGGAGAGAATTAAGCACATGCTTAACTCTCCCACTCAAATCAAAGGGGCTTAGCAGGATGTGCTGCTCAAATCAATGATCAAAGAAAAAGCCCCAGAGAAATGATGGGAACTTTCTTCTGGATAGACAAGTAGAGGATTGCATTATAACTGAGGCCAATGGCTTTGAAAGAACATACTGTCCATCCCTTCACAGCTTCCTCTGAATGGCCATCTATCATCACTCTGAATCGAGAGCAAAGAGAAATGTGATGCATCCATCAAGCAAAAGAACAGTAATTCCTGTAATGTGCCCAGCTTTATAAAGGCTAGCATGAGTATGATGCATTTGTACAGTTTATACAGCAGGCAAGTTAACATGCCAAATAATGTGTCTCTCAAAAGCATTGAACAATAGATGTTATAAATTTACATTACCTTTGACATTGCGACCATTATCTGTTATTCAGCAGAATAAAGAAAAGCAAAAGGGGGAAATAAACTGTGTATCCAAAGACTCCGAACTGATTATTTCTTTCCCCCTTCATGGTTCCCCAATACATCTTGAGGGAGCCAACATTAATTTGGGTGAATCTAATGTAATGAACGAGAGGCTAATTTTCTCTTTTTAGAATTAGGAACCAAAAGTTTTCGTCATTCAACTGCTCTTCAGCTTTTCCCAGAGTCCTCGAAGTGTTTTCAAATTAGCAGGGGCAACCATTTAAATGGATGCGGTATATCTCAGAAGGGACTGTTCTTTAAATTTGGAGGGTAATTTGATGTAAGAAATTGTAATTGATTAAGCAGTTTTCCTGGCTTAATCAATAATGCAGTGTTGTCAACCAATTGCTCAATTAGTTAAATACGCGTTCTAACCTATCAACTGCATTAAGATGAACAAGGGTTTTATTTGTGAAGCAAGGAATATCTTCCTTTTAAAACAATATGCATGCACGTTGCTGATTCAGACTGCCAGGTTGGGCATGCACCTGCTCTCTGGGATGTAATTCCCTATGAAAACTGGGAGGCTTCCAACCTGTAATGTAATGTATGAAGATCTTGATGGACAAAGAGAAGACATGAAACAATCAGACAAGAGAGGAGGGAATCTCCAATCAACTAAGGGTCAAAGGAAGAAGTTTAGGAAGGACTGCCCTCATTTATAGGGCAGTTTAAAGTGGTGGTAGGAAGTTTGTTAAGGTAGCCTTACAATAAGGTAGAATTAGCTCATCTAGTCATGTTTCCTATTTGGTTTACCCTGGTGGCTTTCTGGGAGATCTTAAAGACCTGGCCATTCTCTCAGGCTCTAAGCCAGGGTTAGGCAACCTTGGCTCTTTTATGACTCATGGGGCTTCAACTCCTGGCTCAGGAATTCTGGGAGTTGAAGTCCACGAGTCATAAAAGAGCCAAGGTTGCCTAATCTTGTTCTAAGTTGGTTGGAGCCAGTGCTGGATGCATGACATTTGTTTTATGTATTGACCACATCTGCATCCATATTCTGTTCAGTGTGTTATTAGGTGCTTATTTTTATGTTGCCATCTATGTGAGCCCCTTCCCCAAGTCAGTCTGGAATCAGGTGATACCTAAATTGAATAAATGGATGGATGGATGGATGGGTGGGTGGATGAATGAATGAATGAATGAATGAATGAATGAATGAAACATTTTTTGGAGGAGGGATTCCTCCTGGGTGCATGCTCTGGATGAAGACCTTCTGAATATGGAAGTGACCATTGCAATCTGAACCAATCTTGTATTAGTATCCCTTTACAATAAACTGCTGCCCAAACAATGAGGGAACATTTATTAGGACTTACTCTCAAATTAATGTGCATAGACCTATAACACAGAACGAAGCATACTGACTTGGACATAAGCTTCCTTTTGCATAGGATCACATATTATAAACCATAGAGTGTTAAATGTCATCCCTGCTAGATTTTCCCCTTAGCTTTTAAAGACAAAGAGACTTCAAAGATCTTGTCCTAGTTGGATAAAAAATGAAATGCACGTATTCCACTCTATTTCCAGCCATTCAGTTGACATAATTCATGAACATTGATCACTTTCCCCTTGCCCAACACTGTACCTTCACTAGCATGCCGATCCCTAAACATGTTCTTGGGATGGATGGTAAATCCTTCTATGTTGTGCACTGAAGATGCTCTCCGCATACTACTAACGCTCTCTTTTGACTGAGCAAGAGTCAAGGCTGCACTGGAATGCAGCATATCTGGGTACAGTCGATCCCATTGCTGTTTTGGTGATGAATGATCTAGAGGCCCAGATATATTCACTGGAGGGGAACACGTCCTTGGTTGAATGAGTGCCTTGGTGTCATCTCCTTCAGAGGGGCTGCAGCTTTCTTTTGTAGGAGATTTAAAGTGTTTCATGGCCATGGAGTTGTCGCTGTGTTTTGATGAATCAACAATCACTGCATCAGGATCTTCTTGTGGCAAAGATTGCTTTCTGTAGGATAAAAGACTCAATCCAGGTAGCCTGAATCCAAAAAGTTTGCCTGAGTAGGAAAGATCAGATTTAAGAGGGAAAAAAAACCACCAATCAGTTAAATATGAAATCATGAGTTGTTGCAAAACAATTGTTCTCCCATGTAATGCCCTTTGTTTACTAGTAAAGAACCCATGCTATTCTGTTGACAGTGGCCAGAAATTAATGATTCAATACATGACGAAAACTCTGGAGCAGCAATGACAGGTCTACATAGTTATCTAAATAGATAACAGACATCCCTCACTTCCAATTTTGCAATGGAGAAGAATATAAATTAGAGAATGGTAGCTATTAAAGAGGTTAACCAGAACCAAGGCAGGTATCCCTTTCTGATTTCTCCTGTCACTGTTTCTAACTGTGTGTCTAAAACATTACCTGTTGCTTGAAAAAAACACTGATAATTGGCATTAGTTCAGATATAGAAGGCAGCAACTTTGGTTCATGGGGAAAAAAAATCTATCCTTGTGGCTTGTCTTATCAGTCACAGTTCCCCGCTTTTCTCTGATTTTAATGGAACTTTTTAAAAATAAATGTTGAGGATTTAAAAAAAAAATAAGTTTGAAGCCTTATTATTATCTCTATAGATTTTTTTTATTTTTGAAGATTTTTGTGGCCACTGTGCCTACTACAAGGTAGTCTGTGGCTCATATCATCCTTTTGAAACACTGAGGAAAGAATCCCAGAATTATCACAGATTTATTAAGAAAAAGTCACCTTTTCAGAGACTGAGAAAAGAGAGCTCAGTTGTTGATTTGGTTTATATTTATATTCATCAGCTCTTTTAATGTTGAACCTATCTTTAGGGCAGGGAATTATCTGCTGACAACTGGATTCAAGAATATAATAGAACTGTTTGAAAATATTATGCTTTCAATTTGAAACACCTTAGAATAGTTAATGCAGGAAAAATGGCTTGCTCATGAATAGCAACATCTGAAAGGCTTACAACATGTGTGTTTTCCCTAGATTTAAATACAATGCATAAATTGTTTTATCTTGATGAACCCTGGTATGAGCAATGTCTGAAATTTCCAGCCACCACCACCACCTACAAATTCAATAATGAGGGAGGGAATGGCTACTTGACATCGTGTCCCAGAAGAGAAAGTATTTGTGATGTACCTCCAAGGTTTTGGATTGCCTTGCAGAGGTTTTTCAAAACAATATGCCTGCAGTGCTCTATTGCTCCATATCTGCTGCCTGAATGGTCTTTCCCCCTAATTCCATGGACATATCCAGCCAAGGAGAGTACATCCAATGACAGTCAATCCCTTTTGGATCTCACTGGTGAAAATGATGTATGCATGAGTGATTTGGGAGGGTAGGAGAAGAAATTGCTAAAGATAGCAATGCTTGAAAATTGACCTTTGTTAATTCAACTCCAGATTGGCTTCCAACACAAATTTATTGCATACCCTGGAACGTCATATCAACTGAAACTTAGTTATATATTTGACTTCACTTTCATAAACATAAGATTTATGAAAGATTGATTTTAAAATAACAGAAAAAGCAAAAGCAAAATGAACAAAAGACAAAAAACAGATTATCAAAAAATACATATTTGTATGCTATATAAATGCTTAAAAATAAGTGAAAAAAAGAGTAGAAAAAATAGAAATATAAAGTATACTATGTCATTATAACTGGATAACATAAATGGATTTTCTGTGTTTCCTATAGCTACAAGACTGATATTGAAACATTGGAAAGATAAATGTATGACCTGATTTACTCAATGGAGTGAAGATCTGATTACACTTGTTTGTAGAGGTAGACTTTGTATAGATAAATATAATGAAATATGGAACTCATCTAAAAATACAGTAGATTAAAAATAGATGGTAATATAACTATTATCTAATCATTTCAACTATCATCTAATACATTTCTAAGTGTATTAGAAATATATGTATATACATACACACTTGCATGTTTGTACTAGATAAATATATATAGAATTGTAGCTTTTCACTGTTGTAACAATTTATTTATTTATTTATTTAGAGTAATTCAAGGTTACTCATGAAGCAACCTAGAACTAAGGAGAAATTTCTTGACAGTTAGAACAGTTAATAAGTGAACAACCTGCCTCCAGAAGCTGTGAATGCTCCAACACTGGAAGTTTTTAAAAAGAGACTAGATAGCCATTTCTCTGAAATGGTATAGGGTTTACTGCCTGAGCAGAGGGTTGGACTAGATCAGAGGTATCAAACTGCTGGCCCACAGGCCAGATGCATCATGATGAAACCGTGCCCACCCTATTGCCGGTAATGGGGAAAAAGCTCTAATACATCGCACATCACGTAACATTGCGAGTTTGACATGTCTGGACTAGATGATCTCCAAAGTCCCTTCCAACTTTACTACTACTACTACTACTACTACTACTACTACTACTACTACTACTACTATTATTATTATTATTATTATTATTATTGTGGCAAGCATCTCTAATACCTCTTTCTCTCCTCTTTTGCTCACAACAACAGTGAGGTAGGTTGGGTATGAAAGAGGGACTGGCTCAAAGTTGCCCAGCCAGCTTTCATGGTAAAGGTGAGACTAGAACTTTTATTATACTATAATGTACAATTAATGCTGATTGATTTTTCCCCCTCATCCTGAATATGATGACATATAAATATGTACGGATATGTGTATACATACATACATACATACATACGTAGGTCTTTAGTTATTCGGGTTTTCTCACGCATAAAATTGGAAGTGTTTTGGTGACGTTTCGACGAAGTCCCATTTGTCATCTTCAGGCTGGTGTTTTTGGCTTCATATTTCTAGGAGCAATGTGTGATTGTAGCTGTTTCTTCCTTTTAACTGCCAATGGGGGTATGAACTGATTGGGTGGGAGCTTGGCTGTGTTCTGATTGGGTGGAGGTGTGTTCTGATTGGTTAGGGGCTTGGCTGTGCTCTGATTGGATGGGGAAGTGTTCTGTTTGGGTGAGGGCTTTGTTGTGCTCAGGTTAGTCTGAGTTGCAGGGAGATGAGAGACGGTAAGCTGCATTGCTGTTGTTTGGCTTCGCGTTCGTGGTCATGCCTCATCTTCATGGTGGGTGTCAGTTTGCTTCATGTATGGATTGGAGGGGTTTAAAGTGGCTAATGATGCAGCTGTGGTCTGGCATCTGGTTTGTGGTCGTGCCTCATCATCGGTGTGGGTTTGGGTTTGCTTTTTGCGTGAATGTGTGGTGGTGACATCCTGTGTGGTTTTCGTTAGTGTGGTCTGGTGTCATTCTTTGTGTTAGGGACTCGTTTGTCAATAAGGGCGGGTTTCCAAATGGCTGGTAGGCAGGAGGTATCATCTTGTTTATTCATGCTGTGTGGGCGTTTTTCTATCTTGAAGGCTTCTCTGATTATTCTGTTATTAAAGTGTTAAGTTTTGGCGATAGTTCTGGTCTTTTTAAAGTCAATTTCATGTCCTGTGGCTTTAAGGTGTTGGACCAGGGAAGAAGTTGGTTCCTCTTTTTTGACTGAGTTCTTGTGTTCTTCAATGCGTGCACTTATCCTTCTGTTGGTTTGTCCGATGTATGTGGTGGGGCAAGCGGTGCATGGGATTTCATATACTCCTTGATTTTCTACCTTAATTTTGTTTTGGTGAATATTTTTTGGTTTGTGCAGAATGCTGTCTTGATGTTGTGTTTGTAGATGATCTTGCTGATTCTGTCTGTGGTGCCTTTTATGTATGGGAGGAGGGCTTTGCCGTTTCTTGTTCTCTGTCTTGGATTTTAGTGGGGGTTTCTTTTTGGATTAGGTTAGTAATCTTATTTCTTTGGAATCCGCTGGATGTTAGTACATTAGTGAGAGTATGTAGTTCGGTTTTTAGGTGTTGTTCGTCCACTAAGCGTTTTGTTCTGGAGATGAGTGTCTTGGCTATGGAGTAGATCTGTGCTGGGTGGTGGTGTGAGAGTGCATGCAGATAGCGGTTTGTGTGTGTTTTCTTCTGGTAAATGGTGTGTCCTAGGGAGCCATTGGATTTCTTGTAGACTAAGACATCCAGTAAGGGAAGTTGGTTATTAGCTTCTGTTTCCATGGTGAACTGTATTTTGGGGTGTAGGCTGTTGAGGTGTGTGAGGAAGTTGTCCAGTTTTTCTTTCCCATGTGGTCAGATTATGAAAGTATCATCTACATATCTGAGCCAGAGTTTGGTTTTGTGATCAGATTTTTCTAGAGCTTGGGTTTAAAAGTGTTCCATGTAGAGGTTTGCAATGACAGGTGAGAGGGGTGATCCCATGGGTGCTCCTTCTATTTGTTTGTATTTTTGTCCATTATAGATGAAGTATGTGTTGGATAGGCAGTGGTTGGTCAGATCTAGGATGTGTTTGGGGGGGTTATATTTGTTATAATATACACACACACACATACATACATACACACATACATACACACACACATGCATACACACATATATACTGCACATACACTAACTAAACTGAATATTCTGTAGTTAACTCTTGTTAAAATGATTTTTTGTGCTATTCCTTTCAATCTAATCACATGCATTTACAAAACCAGTGAAAGATTTTACTTGACAGCAACCATAGATGTTTACTAAAACTAGCTGTAGGTAAAAATGAGTCAAATATATTAAAATATTCTATAGCTTTTATAACGCCTTTGAAACTGAGTTAGAAAATTCTCTATTAATCCACAAGCTAATGACACCGAAGTTTGAACTATGATAGTTCATCACACCCTTTTCCCCATAAAACGGGATCTTTCATGGTTTTTCTCACATTTTTGCAAGGAAAAAGTAGACATCTCCACACACTCTTGTTCTATTTTAGAAATATTCATGTAGAACAGATGGTATTTTCTGCTTCACTGGTTTAAAACAGTCATGTTAGAGTGTGTTGCTGATCAAGTTGTCTCTTAATTCAGCTGGAAAGGATATGCTTGGAGAGCATCCCTCATTGCTAATATTTTCAGGCACAAAATAAAATAGCATCAGCAGCAACATATGACTATCTTTGCCAGTTTTTTTAAAAAAAACAA